GCTCACAATGTTGTTGTGAGCCTGTGTGTGTGTGCATTTGTTAGCAGCTCCGCCCTCTCGGTCTGCTAGGCAACAGCATTTGTTGCATTTTTTAAACAGGAAGTGGGAGTCGAGTAATACACTGGTAGGGGGTGACTTGCTCTTTAAGTCACGGCCACGTCACCATTCCACCTAAAAGCCCGCACAGAAAGAATTTGGCACACAAAAACGTCAAACTCACCAGTTAGGGATTACTGAAATGTATTTTAACATTTATTTAGAGATCTTTTACAGACACTTGAACAAAGTACAGATAAAACAGTCATGATGAAAAAAAACACAATATGAATATATACTACAGCTCCAGAATCAGCATTTTAGTCCCTATATCATACTGCATGCACTACAAGTCACTAAAGCAAAGAACTACACAAAAATCTAAATGTTTGAATAAAGTTCATAATGATGACAAAGTTCTGTGTGGGAGTTAAAGGGTTAATAATGACATGTTCATACATTTGTTTTATGATACATTTTATAATGAAAAATAAAGTAAATTCATGTTTTTTAAAATAACTCAATTTGTTTTCAAAGTCGATACTTTTCACAGACAACTGATGCACACTCAACTGACTCGTTTCATTACATTAAACGTAGTTCTGCTGTAAAAACAAGTTAATATTGTCCTCTGCAGGCCACCATACCCAGTAAACCTGCTCTTAAGTACATAAATGACATCTGACTGCATCAAAAATACAGTTTGGACTGCTTTCCGATGACAGTTCTTGACCTTTTAGTGAAGTGTGTGTGTGTGTTGCAACACCAGACACAGACTCCTACATGGCTGTCTTGCCAGGATTCTTGGGGTCAAAGGTCATGATCTCCATGTGAATGAGACCTGAAGGAGAAACAACATAAAAACAGATACAGCTAAATCTGTCAGGAATACCAGTCGATCCGGATTGGGGATTTAAATGTCAACAACCATCCGCCGTCCAACTCACTTTTCCATTCGTTAATGTCGAGATCTAGACTCTCAAAGGAGTCGTCGTAATGCTCAGAGTCTGGTTCAGATTCAGGTTCATGATATTCAACCAGATAGGGGTGGGAGAGTCCCTGCTTAGCCGTCAGTCTCTTCTCTGGATCCAGCAGCAGCATTCCCTCAAGAAGGTTCAGAGCTGGAAGCATCAAATAACAAACCGCGACTTAAACTACCAGCAGGATTTTCCTAGATGGTTTCAAATTATTTTGTTTTCAGCCTTCAAATAACTGAATCCCTTTTTGCTTTCCCTCAACACCCGTAAACATACCGCTCCGATCCATTAAAGGAAACACCTCTTTGAAGTTTTTCTTTTTCTGTGGAGGGAGACCTGCCACATAGGTTTGTGCCTGGAAAGCAAATACAAGAGTTACGCATTATGACGCAACCACGCTCTCTTTTGTTAGTGAAACACGTGAATAAAACAGAATCTCACATCTTTGCTCTGCATCTTCTTCACTAGCGACGGGTCAGGAGTTCCTGTTAGGTTGAGGATCTTGGTCAGCTGATCAATGCCTGCACAGGTTGGTTAAGGAACACTGAATGCACAACATCACCACAAAGTAACACTTTAGTTTAGGGAACACAAATTAACCATTCATTAGCTGTCAACCAATATGCATATTAGTGGCCTATTAAGTCTGAACTACTCATTATTAAGAACTTATTAACATTATATTATAACTACTCCTCCTTGAACCGTCACCTTATTGTGGTGGAGGAGTTTGAGTGCCCTAATGATTCTAGGAGCTATGTTGTCTGGGGCACTTTGTGCCTCTGGTAGGGTCTCCCATGACAAATGGGTCTTAGGTGAAGGGTGAGACAAAGAACGGTTCAGAGGATCTTTCATGGACATAAAAACAAACAGTCGGAGTACCCGGCCCGGAGGGTTACCGGGGTCCCACCCTGGAGCCAGGCCTAGGGTTGGGGCCGGTGAGCGAGCGCCTGGTGGCCGGGTTTTCACCCATGGGGCCCGGCTGGGCCCAGCCCAAACCGGATACGTGGGCTCATCCAGCTGTGGACCCACCACCCACAGGAGGAACATGAAGGGTCCGGTGCAGTGTGGATAGGGTGGCAGACCGAGGCAGGAGCCTTGGCGGTCCGATCCCCAGACAAGGAAACTGGTTATTGGGACATGGAACGTCACCTCGCTGACGGGGAAGGAGCAGGAGCTTGTGGCAGAGGTTGAGCGGTACCAGCTAGATATAGTCGGACTCACCTCGACACATAGCATTTGCTCTGGAACCCAAGTCCTTGAGAGGGGTTGGACACTCTCCTTTGCTGGAGTTGCTCCGGGTGAGAGACGGAGGGCTGGGATTGGCTTTTTGTTAGCCCCAAGACTCTCTGCCTGTGTGTTGGGGTTTACCCCGGGGGACGAGAGGGTAGCTTCCCTGTGCCTTCGTGTCGGGGAACGGGTCCTGACTGTTATTTGTGCTTATGCGCCAAATATCAGTTCAGATTACCCACCCTTTTTGGAGTCCCTGGGACGAGTGCTAGATAGTGCTCCATCAGGGGACTCCATTGTCCTGCTGGGGGACTTCAGTGTTTACGTGTGCAATGACAGCATGACCTGGAGGGGTATAATTGGGAGGAACGGCCCGCCTGATCTGAACTCGAGTGATGTGTCATTGTTGGACTTCTGTGCAAGCCGCAGTATGGCCATATCGAACACCATGCTCGAACATAAGGATGCCCATCGGTACACTTGGTACCAGGGCAGCCTAGGTCACAGGTCGATGATAGACTTCGTAGTCGTATCATCTGACCTGCAGCCGTATGTTTTGGACATCCGAGTGAAGACAGGAGCGGAGCTGCCCACTGATCACCACCTGGTGGTGAGTTGGATCAGATGGCAGGGGAAGATGCCGCGTAGACCTGGCAGACCCAAACCCATACTGAGGGTCTGCTGAGAACGCCTGGCAGAAGAACTTGTCAAGATGGTCTTCAACTCCCACCTCCGGCAGAGCTTTGACCACATCCTGAGAGCAGTGGGGGACATCGACTCCGAGTGGGCCTTGTTCATCTCTGCGATTGTTGAGGTGGCTGTTGCTAGCTGTGGTCGCAAGGTGGCCGGTGCCAGTCGTGGTGGCAACCCCCGTACCCGCTGGTGGACACCAGATGTTCGGGGAGCCGTCAGGCTGAAGAAGGAGGCCTATGGGGCATGGCTGGTCTGTGGGTCTCTGGAGGCAGCAGACGGGTACCGGATAGCCAAGCGGGGTGCAGCAGTGGCAGTTGCCGAGGCAAAATCTCGAGCGTGGGAGGAGTTTGGTGAGGCCATGGAGAAAGACTATTGATCGGCGCCAAAGAGGTTCTGGCAAACTGTCCGGCGCCTCAGGAGAAGAAGGCAGCAACTCGCTCATACTGTTTACAGTGGGGATGGAGAGCTGCTGACGTCAACTGGGGCTATAGTCGGACGGTGGAAGGAATACATTGAGGAGCTCCTCAATCCAACCTACGCGCATTCCGAGGAGGAACCAGAGCCGGGAGACCTGGGGATGGACTGTCCAATCTCTGGGGCAGAAGTTGCTGAGGTAGTCAAACAAATACACAGCGGCGGAGCCCCGGGGGTGGATGAGATTCATCCTGGGTATCTCAAGTCTATGGATGTGGTAGGGCTGTCGTGGCTGACACGTCTCTGCAACATTGCGTGGTCATCGGGGGCAGTTCCTGTGGAGTGGCAGACCGGGGTGGTGGTCCTCATCTTTAAGAAGGGTGACCTGAGGGTGTGTTCCAACTATAGGGGGATCACACTCCTCAGCCTCCCTCGAAAGGTCTACTCCAAGGTTCTGGAGAGGAGGGTCCGATCGATGGTTGAATCTCAGATTGAGGAGGAGCAATGTGGTTTTTGTCCTGGCCGTGGAACTGTGGACCAGCTCTATACCCTTGCAAGGGTGATGGAGGGTGCATGGGAGTTTGCCCAACCAATCCACATGTGTTTTGTGGATTTGGAGAAGGCTTATGACCGTGTCCCCAGGGGCACTCTGTGGGTGACGCTCCAGGAGTATGGGGTGGGTGGCTTTCTGTTAAGGGCCATTCAGTCCCCTTACCATTGGAGCGTGAGTTTGGTCCGCATTGCCGGTAGTAAGTCAGACCTGTTCCCGGTGAGGGTTGGACTCCACCAGGACTGCCCTTTGCCACCAGTTCTGTTCATTACCTTTATGGACAGAATTTCTAGGTGCAGCCGTGGTGTGGAGTGTGTCGAGTTTGGTGGCAGGAGAATCCCATCTCTGCTTTTTGCAGATGATGTGGTCGTCCTAGCTTCATCCAGCTCTGACCTTCAGCTCTTGCTGGGTAGGTTCGCGGCCGAGTGTGAAGCGGCTGGGATGAGGATCAGCACCTCCAAATCTGAGACCATGGTTCTCGACCGGAAAAGGGTGGCTTGCCAACTCCGGGTCGGGAGAGAGGTCCTACCTCAAGTGGAGGAGTTTAAGTATCTTGGGGTCTTGTTCACGAGTGAGGGTAGGAGGGATCGGGAGATCGACAGTTGGATTGGTTCGGCGTCTGCAGTGATGCCGACGCTGAGCCGATCTGTCGTGGTGAAGAGGGAGCTGAGCCAGAATGCCAGGCTCTCGATTTACTGGTCGATCTACGTCCCAATCCTCACTCATGGTCATGAGCTTTGGATAATGACCGAAAGAACGAGATCACGGACACAAACGGCCGAAATGAGTTTCCTCCATAGGGCAGCCGGGCTCAGCCTTAGAGATAGGGTGAGGAGCTCAGACATTCAGGAGGGACTCGGAGTAGAACTGCTCCTCCGGATCGAAAGGAATCAGTTGAGGTGGTTTGGGCTTCTGGTCAGGATGCCTCCTGAAAGCCTCCCTGGGGAGGTGTTTCGGGCGTGTCCTGCCGGCAGGAAGTCCCCGGGTCGACCCAGGACACGTTGGAGAGGTTACATCTCCAATCTGGTCCGGGAACGCCTTGGGGTCCTGCCGGAGGAATTGGTGGAGGTGGCCGGGGAGAGGACGGTCTGGAGCTCCCTAGTTGGGATGCTGCCCCCGCGACCCGGACCTGGATGAGCGGAGGAAGACGACGACGACCTAATCACTAGTAGTTTAGTATTAATTAACCATTTAAAGGCAATAATATGTTCCCCTTGAATTACTTCTTTAAAAGCCACATATTGATTTGAGCTAATTAGTATGTGCGTGAATCAGCAAAAAAAAACATTTACTTTCAGTTAACAAACCATTATGAATGGCTTATTTTGATAAAACTCTTAATTTATGGCCTGTTAATATCAGAATTACATCATTAGTAATAAGCTGTTAATAAGTGCCTAATAATGAGTAGTTCAGACTTAGTAGTCCACTAATATGCATATTAAATGGCAGCTAATTAATGGTTAATTGTGTTCCCTAAACTAAAGTGTTACCACATTTAGCAGAAGCGGTCCGTTCTGTCACCTTTACCCAAAGCAAGCCTTCCTCTTAGTGGCCGACTTGAGGCCACCCCTGTTGTGTAAACAAATGAGTTATTTTAGTCACTCACTCATTTCTAAGGGAAGCTGATGCCTGTCTCAGCAGGTGAGAGGTAGGAGGCACTATGGACAGGTCTCCTGTCCATCACAGGGCTACACAGAGATACAGATCGTTTAGGGACATTCAGCTTTACTGATCAAGCCCTGTCTATAAGCTACTAGAACCTGACTTTTAGGTTCAAAAGGTCTAAATTGTCCCTTTAATGTGCAATTTACATACAGTTGCATTTTGACTTTTTCTTTTATAAAATATTTTCAATACGCAGAAGTTTTATTCATAGAATATTTAGCATCTTTTAAATGTATAATATTAATGAATGAAGTAAAAATGACTCTAGCCTCCTTTACCTGATATTAGAGTAAAAAAAATGCTGTGGCTCAGAAATCTGACATATTGCTCCTTTAAATAACCATGCATTGAATATTTAAAATATAAACCACTTACCAAAAAACTTCCAAGAAAAATGGGAAATTTTTTACATAAAAGTAAAATCTTCCCTTTTTTAAATTTAACATAATCTCATTATTAATATTTTAAATAATTTACATTAGATTAAAACCAGTGTTTTACTGGATAAATAAAAAAACTGTAAAGATTTTTTGGGGGTTATACATCTGCTATAACTGAGTAACTGTGGATACTGTCGTGTCCCGGGAAAAGCACATGGCCCGTGATCATCTCAGCCAGAATGCAGGCGGATGACCAGACATCCACTGTAGAGGAAGACAGAATGCTAGTTTTAATCATCAAAATGCAACAGGAAACATGCCGTGTCACACGAGGACTGACCTGTCTGACTGTAGTGCATCCAGTTGAATATGATCTCAGGTGCTCTGTACCAGCGTGTCACAACATAACCAGTCATCTCACTCTCTGTCTGTCTTGCCAGGCCAAAATCCAGAATCTGAAGACAAACACAGCTGATGTAAAACCCAGTAAACATTGGTCATGCTACATTTTTAGGACTTTTTCTGTATTTTGAGGACCTGCCTTTAAATCGCAGTTCTCACTCACAGCGAGGTTGCCAGGCTTCAGATCCTGAAACACAAAATTACAAATTCATGAATAAAAATGGATTTTGTTATCATTGCTAAAAGTTAAAGGTGCTGGATGAAGATTTAGGAAGTGTGTGTCATGAGATGAAATACGAACTCGATGAATGATCCCTGCAGAGTGGATGTACTGTAGGAAAGAACATAGAATTCAGAACACAACACACTTTATGGCTTTAGGACTTTCATTTTGCCACATTTATACAGTAAAAGGGCTGCAGCTGCAGGTAAATTCATATTTTATTTATTTTTCTAGCAGAATCTTACAGACAGAACTGAGAAAACTAATTTCCTGGTTTTAATCAATATTTTTTTTGTTTCCACATGTCGTTGGTAACATATCAGCCAACAGGTAAACAAAAAGGAAGTGAGGCAGTTGAACACCAATGACACACACACTACGAAAGGCACCGTCACAGATTTACCTAAGCTCTCTACTCTGAGCAAATAAAACACAACCCAAAAATAACGGTCCTAAATCCATATTTTGGCCGAGGATTTAGGTTCTGCTGGTGAAAATTTTACATCTATTCTTTATTTAATGGTGTCTCTTTAAAGACAGCCGAGGATAATCAAGAAAGCCTCTTCCCCAATCAAAAGCTCTGATTGGTTAAAGCAGGAAACAGGAGTTTTTTTCTCAGATGGCACCATCTAGAGGCGGAATAATGCATTACACCTGAAGCTCTCTGCCTTACTTCCGTGATTACAGCTGGAAGCAATGCCTGTCTTTGTGAACGTGCACCTCTAGCCGGCCAACAGAGCTAAAACACATATTTTACAATCATTATTCTCACGTAATGCTGTTTGTTCACTAAAAAAATCCCATCCCACCCTCCGCGGGTAGTCTCATCCTTCCAAGCTCGGGTCCTCTACCAGAGGCCTGGGATATGGAAATATCTGCGCAACGTATATACATACACACACTATATGTGTATATATATATATATAT